ATTTACCAAAACTCACAATGTCAATGTCAAATGGAAATCTACTTACTTGACAAACCTTTTGTGAAGCATTAAAATCTTACGTAAATTACAATGTAACACTCATATACGTATCGAAATATAGTAATCTAGAATTCCATATTGTTAATGACGCTGCAAGAATTAAAGTTCGGTCTGTCAAACACAAATTACATAGAAAAAAAAACAACAATTTATAAATTTCATGAGTTCGAATCGCTGTTCTGGATTCCTTTTCATCAGGAACGCTCAGGCCTAAACATTTCAAGGACAGGAATGTTTGAAGACCTCTGATGATACATGTACTCATAAGGACTAGCAGTACACCAGCAGTGATATTAACCCAGTGTGAGTGAATGAATACAAAGTGAATACTCTATTAACTCTGTGCGTCCGAAGCTCTTTTCTGAATTTACTTTCACCAGGAACGCTCAAACCTAAACATTTGAAAGTTAGGAATGTATAAATAAGTTAGGCGCTATATGACCAAGAGGAACCCGAAAAAAACAATGGAGCTATTAAGCTGTTAAAATAGCGCTTCAGACAACCGCATAAGGTTGATAATGCGTGTTTGCAATCTATATAAAAAAATCACAAAACAACCTTCCAAATTTACGTAGTTATTTCGACTAGTTAAAAAATATATGTAAACCTCAGATCTGTGTACGGCCTCAAATCTGTGTCCGTTTCTCAAATCTGTGCCCCATCGTGACGTCAATCGCTAATCTATGTTCGCTAAAAAAGATACGGCCTCAAATCTGTGTCCTATTTTCACATTTGTTTTCAATCGTGACGTCATTCGCAAATCTATGTCTGTTAAAAAAATATACGGCCTCAAATCTGTGTCCTTTTCTTAAATCTTTTTCCAGTTTGTTTCGCCAAGCTCAAATTTATGCCCGTTTAATTAGTACGGCCTTATAGGATTTTTGTTTTATTAAGTCATTTCCCATAATTCAATGTTAAGTTGGAATGTGTTCTCCATGTGTGTACTTTAAAATTTTACATGCGTGTGTAATTATTGTAAGATTTACATTTTATTGTAAAACCACAATATTTTCAAATTTTTTGCTTTTCTTGATCCCGTGTTTAATTGTTCTGTAGTAATTGTCGTTACTTCCCTTTACTTATTATATAAATTACGTCTTGATAACAATTACGAAATATAAGTTAATAAACAACCTGAGACAAAATGACATATGTTCGCAAGCAACTAAAAATACATGTACGGCCTTCAACAATGAATTAAACCTATTCTGTATCGTAAGCTATAAACACTTACACCTATTTACAAACGATTGTTCAATGTTTAAATGTATAGGTACCACATAAAAATGTTTAGGGTATAATTTATTGTGTTTAACAACGACATTTTGTGCCATTATCTTATTAAACAATTTTTTTTCTTGGGAAACTATTCAAGTTTCGAATCTATGTATGTTTTTAAAATCCATTGTGTACCATGACATCAACATTCAATAACCACAAAGAACATAGATTTGTGTACCCTGTTGTTGTAGTTGTAATAAAATTCTGACAATTTTGAAGGCCAGTCAGTCTTTTTCCACTGACATCTCTTTTCTAAAATATTCTGTCAGTGTTCTATTGAAGCGTTCTATGCGTCCTTGACTCTGTGGGTGATAGGGACGTCGATGTAACTGTCTTACGTCACCAAATTTCGATAAAGGACATAGATTTGAGACAAAAATAGCCATAAATTTGAGTTAATAAAGGACATAGATTTGAGACAATACATGTCATAGATTTGAGACAATAAAAGACATAGATTTGAGACAATAAAGGACATAAATTTGGAACGTCTATGACGCAATATTAAAAAGGACATATATTGGGGGAAAGGACATAGATTTGAGGCTTACATTTATATCTATGATGAGTTTAAAACGGATTCAACAATTGGCAACTGAGGAATTTAAAGCATGGGATTTTAAAGAAATTAATCTGATTGAAGTTGACAATGCTCTGTTCCGCGTACGGATTATTACAGTCTACGGCACCCACCCCTCTAATAACGCTTATAGAAAAAGTAAGCCGTGTCCTGAGGAGAAATTCTACAACTATAAGGGACAGAGACGAATATCAAACTGAAAGCCTGCATTTTTCCAAAATATGGATGATTGTGCAATATGGACTAATATTACAGATTATGACAAGCATATTTCATTTGTCAAACAAAAGAATTTCGTCCTCTGTATCCTCCAATATTATCGAATTCATGATACCATGGCGAAGCTCATACACGAGTTGCTAATTTTAGACAAAAAATGTGAAATACTGCAGATAAAAAGTTCGTATTTTACATTATATTCTCCACAATGAATGATAGATTGATTGATTGTTGGTTGCTTAACGTCCATTGGCAAATATTTCATGTATGTTCAGGACGAGAACAAATTAATAACAAATACAAAAGGTAGGTCCTGTAATAGAGGACGTCCTGAGAAATTTGAACTGCTTATGGAAAATGAGGATAGGGGGCATACATTTTGCACCGCCACCTACAGACTCCTCAAAAAGCAAGGGTACTTTACGCGCAAAGAGCATGACATCGGATTTAACGTCACTATTCTGACTGGTCGTGGCTGCGTACTTGTACATCCCACACAGCCAATCGGACGCCCCACTTTGGAAAGGGTTTAACTGTCAGTCGGAAGCTAGTAAAGCAAGAGTGACCATATTTGTATTCCCCAGTTACATTTGGGGGGCTTAATAATAAAAGAAATGAGACAAATTGATAGATTAAGTAAAAGAAGATACAAGATCAATAACCTTCTTTAAGCGGATTTTATGCATAATTTAGAAACCTTTTCAGCTGTAACGAAAACTACAAAACTACATACTTGTAAATAACATATACATAGCGTATTTTTACGAAGTATTTAACAGCATGCGTCGATGAACACGTTTCCATAGTAACAACTGTAAATAAAAACATAAAATGCTCTTTCAAATCCAATATTCCTAGGCATCAAACAACGTTTCGAATGCACTGGCATGGATAATGGAATTGGTCTAGCAATTTTTGGGCGACACACCAGACTTATTCAAGAATCGACGAATGATTATGACTTGATCATAAGATTGATAGGTAATATTACAAAAGGAGTAAGTAGGATTAGCGACGATATCTTAATAAAAAATACAAACATAAAACACATCATAATTTCTCTTGCGTCCATGAGATAGTAACCTAACGATAAAAAAACAAACCAAAAGATGAATACTTTACAATGAATAGTACTTTTTATCAGACAGCTAACAACAATAAATAATTTCAGAAAATACTCGAACTTAAAGACCAAAACTTCGCAGATCTATAATTTATTGATAAGAAATAAAATGCTTTATCAACAAAAGAACGCAATAGCCTGTAAGATTTTCACAAAAGACCAAGACTATGTGCATATTAAAATCAGGTTGGCCAAAAGATTTTTATTTATTCCTTTCAAGATGAACTTAGACCAGATGGGAATGGATCTGTCTTTGGAGGACTAATGATGGGTTTAGCTGGTGTTGTACCATGTATGTTAAATAAGATACTAAATACATGTACACAAACAGTAGTTATAGTCCCGTACGTTATATTGACAAAATTGGATGAGCAACCCAAACAGACTCTTAGATATCGTATTAATTATGGGAAATGCAAGCTCTTCGATATCGTATGAGATATATACTCCATATGCAGGTGCTGCTGGAATATTGCTACATAGAAATGCAAAATTCACAATTCGGAAGCTGAAAGCATCTTTTTTGACGTACAGTTTTGTTCTCAACCGACTGGCATTGTCAATTTCTAGATGAACGTCAAGATATGAGGCAGACTTAAGTATCTGTCGTATCCTTTTGTCAAGTTTGAATGTATGGATGAGTTCAACATATTCACCAAACTTTGTGAAAAGACATCTTCTTTATAACAGAGCGTGAAGTTAAAGGATAATGCTAGTTTCCATTCATTCTTTCTTAGAGTTCCTGTATTAAGTTTGTCTCATTTGAATAAAGGAACAAGTCATTAAGAAGAAGAGCTTCGTTGGTTCTCATCTTCCTTTTGTGTTTGCCAATAGAATCTATAACAACTGTCAATTAACATAAAAATAGATATGTTAAGGCTAGGAAAGACCGTATACTACTTTTAAACAATGAATGTTTACGATAGGAAAACAAAAATCATCGTGCTTGTCATTTATTAGAATATCTTTAATGGACAGCATAATTGTTATCAAGTTCATATCACTTTTAATATGATTGAATTTGATGTATCTGTGGATTCATTGAACAACAAGTTGACCTCACTAACGAACAATGTTATATATTCCAAATATTTTGGCTTTAATACGCTTGGCATATATGTTTATTAACATATCATTCTACGACGGTAGCTGTTTGTTTGAATTCAACGAAGAATAAGATATATGGTATGTTTTAAGACACATCAAATGTTTTGTTTATGGAGAGCTATAGAATTTTAACTCGCATCAAGTCGTAAAAAACTAGAAATCACGAAGAGGTTTTTGATTTTTGTGAGTTTTTAGTTTGATATAAATCACAGAAAAATACACAAACTTTTTCGGACAAATAATTTGGGTAGTTGATATTTTTCTAATATGTATAGAAATACGAAGTCAACATAATAACGGACTAACAAATTGAAAGGTAATGAAAATTGTTAAATTTGCACAGTGTTTTGTTTCTCTTTACAACTTTTAAATTGATTTTTGCATGTAGTCGTTAATGGTACAGCTATAGTTTTAATTCATACGACGATTTTTTTGTAGTTAAGATGACATTTACATGAAAAATAGTTTTAACCACAGAATTCTCTTAATAAACAAAATAAAATATTCATTTTAGGTCAAGTACGTTAGAAACACGAATGCTCAAAAGAGTATTGAATTATAAAAAACGTTAACTATAAGTATAAAATATAATGTAGGGCTATCTCTTTTTTATATACAAAAAGGTGGGCCGCCAGTTAACATCGATGAAACACCAATAGAGAGATATGTGATTGTTTTCACGAATGGATCCTCGGGACAAGACATACCTACTGTAGGATATGATGACGGTCCCGAGTTGAATTGCTTTACTTTCCGAAGGGTAAGGATACAAACGAAATAAATATATATATATATTACTCCTCATAGTATTCAACACGTACATATGTACAATCGCTCGAACGTCTGTTCATTTGATATCACCAACTATCATACATTTTGTTGTTTCTTAAAGCTCGTTTTTCTTGTTGTAGTGCAGTTGTGCATTATGTATTCTATTCTGCCTTTATAGTTCTTTTTTAAAATTTAAGTAAGAATCAAAATCAGAAGTACAGTGAATTGTCTGTAAAAGCTTTATGTATTTTTTATAAAGCACATAATGTGCTTTAATAGTAACTACTTCAGAGTTATGTTATTTATATTTCGTTACGGTATATACAGTAAATGCAATGACATGTAAGAGATGATAAAACACATCCTTGATCGATCATTTGGTTATGTGACTACGTAACTGAGAACAGTCAAAGAAAAGGTAACAAGTGAATAACTAATAAGAAATGTTCAATCACAGTTTTAAATACAATTGTATCGATACTCTTATTTAACCTTTTATCAAATTGCATTCCCTTATCAATTTATCATTATTAGCCATCCCCAGTCCAGTCACATTATTGGATATATAGAAGTCAATATTGGAGATTCTTCTGTCCTAGTGCCTATGATATTAGCGAGAACTATACAATAATATTTGTATACTTTAAAAAAAAAGGGAATAACATGATATACATGTAGGTACATGTATAACAGGAAAGATGCACTATCTTCAACAAATGTACAATAACAGATGTAAATGTTTAAGTTAATGGATGCTTATATTAACATAAAGTTTTTTTCATTCATTTATCGATTGATTTAATTTTTTTTAGATAGAATCGAACGTGAATCATCATACTGCAATAGATATGATAGTTGCCTCTTATACAAAGATATTCTATGTACCTTTTGGGGAAAACCAGCATAATATGGTATATATATAAAGCAATATTTGTTAGTTTTACACAATCATATGTTCGTTTGCAGATAGAGTAAAGTGTGGGATCTACTGCAGCGTCAACTTTAAATAATTAAATATTATCTATCTATATAGATATATAGATATATTTTTGTTACCAATCTATAGATGCTGCCACTAGAAAACGTATCTTCAGAAATCAAAATTTGATTAATTGTTTCAATTTACTCCGTAAATGTGTATTTTAATACAGTTAAGAGTAAGTGTGGGCAAAAGAGAGTTAAACATACTTAAGATATCCATAAGTCGAAGACAAACTGTTACGCCATGGCAACCCGTCGTGTTGCTCATGTATGTACAAAATCGATAAAACATCTCATTCGCTGATGTCAATTTACATATTATTATAAAAAGAGGACGGGATTGTCGTTATGACAATTGTTGGGGTTCGTTTTACTCAATCTTTAGTTTTCTATGTTGCGTTTTGTGTACTGTTGTTTGTCTTTTGGTCGTTTTTGTGTAGCCATGATATTTTCAGTTTGTTTTGGACTTATTATATTGAATATCCATTTGGTATCTTTCGCCTCTCTTTTGGAACATATCCATCGTCATCTGTGAAACAGATATTACATAACGGGCATCGAAAACTTGAAGTCGTCCGTAAATGTTTGTAGAAATAACTTCAATTTGAACGATTGAAAAACTTGATTAGTTTCCTGGTAGGCAGCAGGGGGAAATTATGATAGGAAACGCAAGCTCTAGAATATAGTATCAAGTGGGAGAAATATACATATGCAGGTGCTACTGGAGTTTTGCTACATAGAAACGGAAAGTTCTCAATTGGGAAGCTGAAATCCTCTCTTTTCGTCTTAAAGTTTTGTTCTCAACCGATCCTTATTGTAGATTTTAAGACGTAAGTCAAGATATGAAGCAAACTTAACAGTATCTGTTGAGGCTTTTATGTCAAGTTCGGTGGGACAGGTGAGTTCAACATAGTCACCAAACTTTAAATTATTTAGTGAGAATACATCATCTATATAGCGGAACGTGATGTTAATGGATAATGCTAGTTTCTTTCCATTCTTCCCAAGATGCTCCGGATCCTGTATTTTACAAGTCGACTAGAAGAGGAACTCAGTTGGTTCCCTCCCATAGGAATGCCGATTATTTGTTGAAAATACACGTTTTCCAAGTGAAACTAACGGGTCATCAATCAGGAAATAAATCAAGCATATTGACAGTGTCCGTTTCAGAAAATGTTTCGTTTGAAAACGTCATTTCAGACAGCAACACAATGACAAAAAAACTCAGTAGACACCTAGAACTTAACATATGGCCTTCAACGAGAGACACATATCTACGCAATATGTCAAGCTTTAATTACCAAGTCTTTAATATTGTCAATACATTTAACAGAGACTATCAACAATACGCCTTCAACTCCATTTCCAAAAGGGAATGAAATAAAAATAATAATGGTGTTATAATTAAAAACAAATAGAAAACTTTAAAGAATCTTAATAAGAAATCTTACAAACACTTTCATGTAAGCCCAACGGAAACAAAAATTTCAATTATTGTTTCTTAATTAATTAATTATTAGAAAGTGCTTTTTATGGATTTTTCATGAAAACAATATATTTTCTTAACGTTTTGTGGACGTCCTTTACAAAAGACAGTCGGCATTCGCAGGATTAACACCTGTCTTCCCTGACTTGTTCCTCTTTCGAATGTCAAACTTCATATAGAAGGTTTGTTTTGGAATGAAAAGAAGCAGCGCTATACACGTTATACTTGAAATTATCATTCCACCAAAAATGATATTCTCATCTCTGATTCTTTTTTATAGTCATTAAATGAGTAATAAAAGTTAAGTGGCTATCTTGATGGCATCGACTAGGACATTAAAAATAAGTAATACCAAACTTACAGTAAGGTCTGCTTTATAACTTGAGTTACATATATAGTTGAAGGATACTAGTATTGTTTTTTATGAAACACTATGTGTGCCCCTAGTTGAAAAAAAATTCTTGCACTTGAGTTCATTCCGGTTTAAGTGGGTTTATATTGGTCAATGTTTGTGTTTCTGTGTAGTGTTTTGATGACTGTTGTTTGTCTTCTTCTAATTGTCAAAAGGTACCGAACTCCAAGGAAAATTCAAATCGGAAAGTCCCTTATCAAATGGCAAAATCAATAGCTCAAACACATCGAACGAATGGAAAACAACTGTCACATTCCTTACTCGGCATCTCCCTATGCAGAAAATGGGTGACCAAACCTGACCCCATAGCTAGCCAAACCTCTCACCTGCATGACAGTTGCACACAATTCCACCATATTGACTAAAGTCTTTGTTTGACTAAAGATTGTCAATAATCCCCTTTTGTCATCTTACTTTTACTGCTATTAACATTAAATTGAGATTAAATTTTAAGAAAGCGTTGCCATTATTTTACAAAATGTTGTGGTTGCATGAGGCATTCTTAGCAGGACTATACTACAATGTAGGCGAAAATGACCAACACCATTTAGGGTTTTCGAAATCTTTAATATTTTTCATATTAGACCTGCCATTTGTTAATAAAAGTTTTTAGTATGAAGAAACTTTAGTTGTCGACATAATGTGCACAGATTTATTATGCATCTCGTAAATTTTGGTTATAAAGCTTCAACACTTTCAAAGTATTCTATAACATTTGCTTACAGCAATGCCAACTTATACAACTTTCCCCCCTCAAATTATTTAACTATACTACTAATATTCATTCATGCTAACAGCATACTATTTTCAGATTTTGGAACAGGCTATGAGGAAAACAAATGGGAAACTAATACAAAATAATGAAATTGATCGTTTGATTATGATGTCGGACGTTATGGTTTGGTTACAAGTAACTTCTCGCGGTGACTCTAGAAGAGGTTCTTGAAATCCTTTCTAAGACTATGCGGCTGATTTTTGCAAAATATTGTGTTATTGTTTAAATTGTAGTATTTTATAGGCAGCTTACTACCTGCAACAAAGTAATACTGATGGGAAGTAAACAATAAAGTAATTTTTTTTATGTTCTTATTCAATACTTCAAACGAACATAAAGCATTTACAAAGTAAAAACTCAACACAGTTTTTGGTTATCAGCTCGCCCCGACAGCACAGAAAGCTTATTTTTATTATAAACAATAAACAAATGTCCAATTTGCTGTCATCGACCGCTGCCATCACATATAAACACAATCTACAATAGAAAAATGTTCTATAAGTTGAAGAAAAAATCATTTCGATTTACATACATGTATTTTATCAACTATTTTCTACATAACATACTGATTCACATTCCTATGAAGTCTTAATAAAAGGGGTGGGTGGGTGGGAAAACGAACCTTTCTGTCGGATAGGCGAACCTCGAATGACAATTCTAGATATCTTATTATAATTTTAGCGCTAAAATTCTAGCATGAAGTTATCATGATTGATATAACTTAAACCGGTAATAACTTACTGATGGTCCAATCAAATTAAACATAAACATGTTTTGATTTAAACACACGTGTTAAAAGTAAACAAATACACGTGTTCCCGAGTAACCTTTATAAATACATTTATGTTCTTATTCAATACTTCAAACGAACATAAAGCATTTACAAAGTAAAAACTCAACACAGTTTTTGGTTATCAGCTCGCCCCGACAGCACAGAAAGCTTCGATTGATAAAGAAAGGGACATAAAGAAAAAGGGGGGACAAACAATATAAATTACAATCCTAAATTCTTAGATACTGACAATCTGTTGAGTATACTCTCTTTAACATAACCATCTTTGGCTTTATCACTTTTCCATCTCCCGTGTTTCTTAAACAACCGGTCATCTATTCCAGCTTCTGCCGCGGCAGTAGCTCCTCCTGACCTCAAACTATGTAAGCCAAACTGTTTTTTATCAAGACCTAAACTGTCAAGTGCAGATAACAATAACTCTCTGGCTCTGGTGTAAGAAATATGACTACTCTTTCTAAGTTTGTATATATTCAAAGATTTACAATAACAAATAGATCTAAAAATAAAATCATTCGATTCTTCAGGAATGTTAGCTAACTTTAGATAACGCTGAAGTACATCTACCGGGCATGTAATATTCCCTGTTTTTGAAATGACAACATCTTTCCCTTCCCTATATACATCAGTTTTACTCTTGACTAAATGAAGTGTAAGGTAAGTAGGGGAAAACTGTATATCAGACCTTCTCAAGTTAGCTAACTCGGAGAATCTTAAAAAGCCAGCATAGGCTAATAAACACATACATGCTATTCTTACATCTTTTAAATTACAAGTATTATTAGCATATTTACATACAATATTTTTCAAAATATGCGGTGTGATAGGTTCTTTTTTGACAACTGAATGACCTATTTTTCTATGAGCCCCTTCAAGAACAGATGCAACTAGATTATTTTCACTGGGATCAGCAACGCCAGCTAATTTATGTGCCCATTTTATGGCGTAAAAAGCATCATTTAATTTTGAAACCGATTTTGCAGTTTCAGACAAATGAATTAAATATAAAGAAATATGTAAATGAGATGCTGGCAATGGTGAAAAAGAATATTGACTAGTCCACTTACACCATGAATTGAAGGCATATCTATATTTCTTCTGAGTACTCGCAGCCTTGGACGAAAGAAGGAATTCTGGTAACTGTTTGAACAAACTGCTGAGATCATTATTAGAGGCAACTTGTGAATTAAAGTCTGACCAATGTCCTACTGAAAAAATATCTGAAAAACGTAAAATTGCAATAACATTTTATATACATATACAGAGGACGAATTATTAGCATATTTCAGATTTCTATACACAGTAAAATATAATATATATTCAAATATTTCAACGCCAGCTACAATATCTTTATAGATACTAGGGCCATAAACTGTAAAACAAATTACCATGCCTGCTAAAATATCATTATAGATACTAGGGCCATGTCAAATAAAAAAACCAAGCCTGCTACAATATCATTACCGATACTAGGGCCATGTCAACATAAACACCCATGCCTGCTACAATATACATATACTAGGGCCATGTCACAAACAGACCATGACTGCTACAATATATCTATATATATATTAGGGCCATGTCACAAACAGACCATGCCTGCTAAAATATATCTATATATATTAGGGCCATGTCTAAGATGCATCTAGCAAAACAGCCAAAACTGGCGAACCAAACGGTTCAATTCCGAATATCGTATTCTTATTCGAACCTTGCTTATAAATACCATCAGTATTTTTAAACACAATAACATCTTTTACGTAATCTTGATAAATCAGATGTTTATCGAATATCAAAGGCCAGAATGCAGCAGAAATCCACTTAGGCACAACTAACGTGCCTCGAGCTTTACAAGCTATAATGTGTTTAATCGATCGTATCACAAGATTAATTGGTGGAACTAGCCAATTATTTTCATTGGTCCAAACTTGAGAAAATGCATCAACTGCTTCAGAATCAGGTTGCCAAAATAAGGAGTTAAATCTCATAACTTTTCTATTTTCGACACTTGCAAACCTGTCAATCGAATAAGGACCCCACATATCATTTAAAAAATTGAAAAATATATGTGTGACTCCCCAGTCCTCGAAATCAACCATTTTGCTGATATAATCAGCCTTTTCATTTTCTTTTCTGGGAATCCATTGAATGTCAATTGATATTCCTTTTTGAATGCAAAATGAAAAAATAGATTTTGCTATAACATGAAGATTTTCTTTCATACTTCCCGAATTAACAATTTTGACACAATTTTGATTGTCAGTAAACCACTTTATAGTTTTTCCTGTGAAACTATTCTTAAAAGAAAAAAAGGGCCAACTCTATAGCTTTCAGCTCTCTCCATGTGGAGCTTTGTACCGTTTCACTACATGTCCACATCTTATGGAAAATCTTATTTTCTAATTCAACGGTGTATGCACCAGCGGCAATATTACTAGCATCTGAGTATATGACAACAGAAGATTTACTGTAATGACATAAATTACGATAGTTAATCATGGTGACATTTTCTAACCAGAACTTTAACTCTGATAAAACCTCGACGGGTTTGTACCCTGTAATGGGAATATCCCACCCAATTCTACTTTCAATTTCCATGTAACAGAACTTTGACATAATTCTAGCCACATTTCCGATTACGGGAGTCATAGAAATAATTCTACCTACAACCTGAGCTAAAGATCTAGCTGTAACATAGGGAAATTTAGCCAAAATTACATTCAATGAGAAAATCAAATCGTCAACTCGACGTTGAGTAATAGATAATTTGTATTCTTTCGAGTTCCAAACTATTCCCAACCATTCTAACTCGGTAACAGGTTTAAAAACAGACTTCTCCTCGTTAATAAGGAAACCAGCATCAATCAAAGACCTTTTTACGAAGGACGATTGCTCATTACATGTATTTTCATCTGGACTCATGCCAAATCCATCATCTAAATACAAAACAACTTTTATACCGTTTCCACGCCAAAATTTTACTAGTGGCTTCAAACATTTAGTAAAAATGTACGGACCGGTAGTAATTCCGAAAGCTAAAACAGTATAGCAATAAAATTGACCTTCCCACTGAAAACCTAAGAAAGTCTGTTGCTGTGAGCATATGTCTAAGTCAAACTTAAACAGATACATATCTTTGTCAAAATATTGTATAGCTAACTTCCAATCCTCAAATTTTATTTTTTCGCGCTTTATGTGTTTATTCAATTGACTCATATCTAAAATAAGTCGTTTCTTACCGGACTTTTGAGTAGCAACACTCAATGGATTTACCACATATGGTTGAAAAGGCACTTTAATTACGCAACCTATTTGAACTAAATCTTCAATTGACTTTGTGACAAATTCAGTATTCTGCCGTGCTGATCTATTATTTCTGTGGTACATTTTAAAAGGTGTATCTATAAATGGAATAACATAACCATTTTTTATTGTATCAAGCACAAAAGGACAAGCACCTATATTTTCCCAATACTTTACATGACAAGCTAATCTACCTTTCACCCCTTTAAATTTATCATATGACTGACAATTTTCAAAATATTGAACTTGATCTAAAAAAGATTCTATATAATCGTTATCAACAAAACATGTAGAAAATTGGTCATTAATAGTGTCTAAATACTTATCATTCACAATGACTGGAGAGTGACGTTCAGGCCCTACTTTACTACTTCTGGTAGGTTGTGGAGTTGCTGTTGGATGACCTGAGACTGGCGAGAAGAGGACAGTTTTTTCTCCAGTGGCCTTGTTGCTTGCAGTAGTGGCACGTGTCGATTGAGCAAGGCTCACGCCTTGCGAAGCTCCCACGAAAGGGCTGTTGCTGATTACGTTGATAATGCTGAGCGTAAGCAGGGTTACCATAAGATTCCGCAGGTTGTTGACGAGGCGGATTTTTTGGGTAAGGTTGCTGGCGAGATTTTGACTTCTCCTTGGAGGTACGGATAGCTCTGGTCTCAGCTTGTCGTATCTTTCTCTCATCTTCAGAATCTGAAGCCACGGCATTGGATTCGTATTCCCTAACGGTTCCCCAACCAGCAGGGGAAGCATCAGCTATGCGTATTTTCTTATTACGGCTTTTGATCTTATCAGTTATGTCAAGAACTAATCTATAGGCTTGAGTATTGGAGTTAGGGATGAATTTTGAAAGTTTATTAACAGTGTCTAATAATTCCTCGTTAAAGGTGTACTGAATTCTGTTTCCTTCCCCCTTAAATTTTAGAGTGACGTCCTCCTTAATTTTTCTCTTAAGGCAATCTTGTTCTTGTATGAGTTCAGATTTCAACTCACCTAACTTGCTGTCTAAAATTGTCTTAAAAAGCTCTACAGTATCTACCAAATCAGACGACTTATCAGCTGCTTTATGAATATTAGGTGGCGGTAAACTATTATCTCCTTCGAGTAGTATGTCTTCATTCAATTCCAGACGTGGAGAAGATTCGGACATTTTACCAAGTGGCGATTTAAGAAAAAACGAACCTTTCTGTCGGATAGGCGAACCTCGAATGACAATTCTAGATATCTTATTATAATTTTAGCGCTAAAATTCTAGCATGAAGTTATCATGATTGATATAACTTAAACCGGTAATAACTTACTGATGGTCCAATCAAATTAAACATAAACATGTTTTGATTTAAACACACGTGTTAAAAGTAAACAAATACACGTGTTCCCGAGTAACCTTTATAAATACATTTTACCCAGATGACAAAAAAAAAGAGGACTGCTTACATTAAGTTCTGTAGAAAGAGCTTGGATTTTCTGATTCGTAAATTTCCCATTATTAGAATCATCAAATTATTTGTGCAAACAAGGCCTCGAAAAACATAAATAAAAGATATAAAACATACTTAAATGAGAGTTTATTTCAAAACTGAAAAAATGAGATCCATCATTTACTGGCAAAACAGATATAACAATTATATCAACAGACGAAACAAATTGTTATGACACTAATATTCCTAACTTATTACAAATTATGGAGCGGCATATAGAAATTCTACGCAGGGTGTGCAATTTTGTTTACTATTAACTAATTAACTGATGGTGTTGATTTGAAAATCTTTTTCAACGTATGCGCGAATTTCAACATAGAAAGATTTCCTAAATAAATATGGATTTAATGTGTAAACACTTTTATTATGAAAAACAGTGCTTTTATTGGTGAACATAATAAACTGCACATTTGGGATGCAATTAGAATGTTCTCAACAAGTCCTTTCCATTGTTTCACTCGGGTTATTATATATATAGTTTTCATGGTCCATGTCTAATTACAAAAACAATCGTAACCAACACCATCGACAAAAACAATTTGTTTTTCTTTTTAGTTGTTAGCAATACGTATAGCATCAGAAATAAGATATTCACAAAATCAAAGCAGAGAAGTTGTCAGGCGGAAAATAGCAGAGAGATCAAATTTTGATGATAGACATGTAAGATAAGATATATGTATAAAATATAAGAGTCTCTAGGCGTGTTTTTAAATTTGTGTAACCTTTGACATATGATTTGTGAATATCCCCTTGCTCTTCTAATCTGTTTCATTTTAAATCAGAAAAACAATTTAAATAGCTTTCGTTTTCCTTAATATGTCGGTGTCCAATATAGAGGTTGCTTTACATATAAGAAAGTAATCAGTCATTAATTTAATCAACGGAAATTTGAAATTAATTATAATCAAATAGGAACAAAAATATCTTTAAAGAATAGCATATGTTTAAAATGATTCGATGTCTCTTTTAACTACAAACAAAGAAGAATTTGAACATATTCATTGAATGTAATCGATCGGTATAAGTGATTTCCATCTCTTTAGTTTTTCGAATTTATGATCAATTGCGTCATATTTAATATTACTTAATACACATTTAGTTTAGTATCTACACTCAAATTGTTTGTTTTTAAGTCTTCAAATGTATTTCCTGATTGTTTTGAAATCATCTTGATTGTATGTATTATGATATTGTCGATGTAGATTTCAGTTTTTTTTTTATTGGCATGTCAACAAATGAAAAATCGATTTGTATGTGTCGTAATATTGTGATTGGAAATGTGGACACATTTCTTAAATTCGATCATAAACGTTGTTTTATTCATAGTCACACACTTCATCGTTGTTGTCCTATGTAAAAAGTGGACATTTTCTTGTTTTTTCTATTCTACTAAAATATCAAAAAAAAAAAACGCCATACACAGGGATAGAAAATTCCCGTACGAAGTTTAAATACTAAAATCAAGAAAGGAGCAATTGTTGTTGGCGTTATAAGTTAAGGTCAAAACAATTCGATTGGGGTAATTTTCGCAGTATAATAAAGGACTCCTGAATATTAAAAGTAAAAATATCATGAAGGTAACAACTTCAAAAATTTAAAGATTTACAAATAAGAGGCATAATCTCTTCTCTGTTGTCATAAAGAATTATAAAATATCATAATATGGTCAGATAAGGATACTTCCTTGTTAAGACTAGAAGTGGTTATTGGTACCAATTATGAGTAAAAATGAAAACAAAACTATATAAATTTGATGCGTCCGAGACCTTCATCAGGAACGATCAAAGCCGAATATTAGAAAGTCAATAAAGTATTAGAACCGAAACAGTTGAAGAGCTAAATGACCAACAAGAATCTTAAGATAATAGTTAAATCCATCTAAGGTCAATGTTGTATGAAGGAGTTGAAACCTTAGTTTCTTTATAATTCATAGATTCACTAACGCACATTTTAAAAAAGATTTGTAATAAAACTTTTGAGCGCTGATGATTTCCTCGGGGACTGATACATGTAGTGCACCAGAAGCGGCATCGACCCAGTGCTCTTAAAAGGAAAACAACACTTTATAAATTGCATGCATCCGAAGCGCCTTTATGGGTTTACCTTCATCAGGAACACACACAACCGAATACTTGAAAGCCAAGAATGTTTTAAGAACCGAAACAGTAAACATGTTTTGGACATTTTATGAATATGTTTCCAAATAACACATCAACTTCCATTGAACATAATAGACAACTATGGGCAATTTTATATTTTACTTTTTTTTCTCTTTTCATTTTGTTGCATCTACATAGAACGACTGCCTAGATATGATACTAGAATTTGTAAATCCTTTAAACATGGACAAGAGAATGGGTAAATTTACTGAAATTACCTGTCGGTCTTTACAACTTGGTGATAGAGTACGTCGTGGTCCTGACTGGAATTCTGGGAACCAGGATAATTATATGGCTGGAACCGTCGTCGGACAAATTTCAGATGGTACGCACATACATTTTTTAGATGAAATGTTGTAGGCCAACAAGCACAAAGTCGGCTCATAATATTTCATTTATGAATAGATAAATGTATAACTAGAATTCAACTTTATGATTTTAAGAATATAATGGTTTCAGCAAGATGAAGAATTACATTCATTTCAATACATATAGCTTTTTAACACAGCGTTTATAAACATGCATAGAAATCCAGGTAAAATACTGATATGTGCAATTCCGGTAAAAAAAAATCTTGTTAACATGTTCATATATATGTGTATGATTTTGGTTTTGTAATATATTCATTTTGTTTGAATACAGAAATTAAGCCTGGAACGACTATGATTTTAAGATTATATGCTTTATTCAAGCATTTCCCTACTTGTTTTCTCGTGTTTTGTATTATCGCTTTAATTATTAAGCCCTGGTAATAACCAGCTGAATACTCTGAACAGATCTGGAACAACAACCTTGCAGAAACAAACCGCTTTTACTGATTTTTCGCGGAAACAATACCTAAAATTTAAAGGAAAGACTGGACACTAATTTATTGGTTCGTCTCTATAGATTGCACTTAATGAAATGTGTCTCAGTTAAAAATCGCTTTCGTAGTGTTTGATTTTAGTTTAAAATACAATGTAAAAAAATTTAGAAAAATTAGTAAATTTCTGTTGATTCAAGGCATGCTATATATTGATTAAATGTTTTACAACTGTTAAACAACTGGCATATATATGTAAGTTGATACTTTTTTCCTTAACACCTAGACATACACATCCCCTTTTGTAATTGATCCTTCATCATTAAAAACTTTCATCCTCCAGTTGAATCCATCGGCAGTATTATTTTCTAACTTTGAAATTATTGTTATCGTAGGGTTAAGTAAAGGATACACGCAAAAATATTCTAATTAAATAATATTCATATTTCATGTCATATAATTTTAACTTTTTGTCTCGTACGAAAAAGTAAAATAACACAAATACCGAACTCCAAGGAAAATTCAAAACGGAAAGTTCCTTATCAAATTGCAAAATCAAAATCTCAAACACATCAAACGAATGGAAAACAACTGTCATATTCCTGACTAGGTACAGGCATTTTCTTAATATCCAGCGGATATTAGACTAATTGATCACTTTATGGTAAAAGCATGAAACTTGGCATAGTGAAAGATTAAGGGGTATAGACAAAATTCAGATATGGAGCCACGAAAAAAAAAATCCAATATGGCCGCCAAATTCAAGATGGCCGACATAAGTATAACATCATTCACTTGATGAAGTCTTCTAATTTTAATGAGTTCAGAAGATGTCACAAACTTAAAAAAATACAATTAAAATATGTCAATTATTATTTTTTTTTTAACCTTATAAAACAGAAATTATCAAAATGGCGTCCGAATTCAAAATGGCGCGTCAATATGTCAGAGTTTGACAGTATTCGTATGTATACACCATCATTGTGTGATAGAAAGTTACCAAATCCGTGAAACTGATCATTTGATATCGACAAAGGCCTACAATGTATCATTAATACCTGGGTGCATAGATTATATTTTCAAAATGGCGGCAATATTCAAAATTGCGCCGTTTAACATGTCAAAAGTTGACGTTTGTTTTTAAGTATGGTATGAAATTATGTAAAAAGTAATGGATCATTTATTTCAATACAAGCACGTATATACAAACATATTATTATTTAATGTAACAGGTGACATATTAACTATGAAATTAAAATGGCCGATACGACTCAAAATGGCGTCTTTGGCGAGTTCTTATTTTTCACAGTTACAGGTAATCTCTTAGAAAATTTCACAATTTTCCTGTTGACAACACAGTTGCCGCCAAGGAATGCTCTGTGGGTTTCTGGATTCGTTTTTGGTTTCTGGATTCGTTTTTGGTAACTGAAGCATATCACGCAGATGAATGGGCAGCCATCGTGAATAGTTGGTGTGATCTAAACCAAGGGATGATCTTTGAGAGAGCTTCAATATATAATAAAAAGTTAGCCTCACGTATAGACCTTATAAATATTAATACTGTCAATTCAAATTGGAGGGTTATATACCAGAATTTAAACTGAGGAGATTCTTTAGATCGTTCCAAACACCACTCTTCAAATTCTAAGATAACCTCATCATCCCTCAAAACATCTTTGTACTGGCAGTAAGCGTTTGACAATAGACGGTAAAGTGTGCACGCTGTAACTTGGTGTGCTCTACGTGTTTTTGTAACATGAGAAGCCTTTAGGAATGAATCAGCTGTATCTGGTGATGTAACCTGTGCATTTACTAAAACACTAGTCAATCCACTATCTTCAAGCCAACTACCAAGTGCTTTGAACGCAACCATTTCTATGTGTAGGCCGCCGAACATCATGATAAAGTTTTCCTCACCATACATCTGTGGCCAGTTCCATTGTATTAGTTTTGCTACTGTGAAAAGGGGTTGGTCAAAAGCAACAACTGGAGTTTGGCCTGGATTTAGCTTTCTTACAGCGCTGCAAATAATGTTCAATGAATGTCGTATCATTGCAAAAGATTTTGCTTGCTCATGAAACAGAGGTAGAAGGGCAGACACTGCTGGTAATTTATTCCCATCTTGCAGTACTGCAGCATGATAGGCGGACCATGAAATATTTGTACCCACTTTAGCCTTAACACTTAAATTTTCCGCAACATGTTTCAGCCATTTGAATTCCCCTTTTAAGGCAGCTGGGAATGAGGACATATCATTGAAAGTTCTCCTTCAACTAATGGGATATCTGGTTCGCGCAATCTTAGTACAGCTGGTGGAAGATTTGAATTACTCTCTGATAAAAGAGAAACTCTCTTTGACTGGCATTTCAACATAGGTTCAGATTGGTCAAATGTTTGAACAATGCATTGAACATCCTCCGAAATATGTTGGAATAAAGATATACCTGTACCATGGATAAATCTTTTGACGATATACTGCTTGGATTGTGGTCAATGTTGTCTACAGCAGATGAAGTAAATTCATTTTGTAGTAGATTGGCAGGGCAAACAATACCTTCTTGGACATAACGAAGACAAGCATCATTGGAAGTAGAAATTTCTAACACTCGGTCATAGGAGACAGATAGTCCAAGTTTGAAGAAATTATCTACTAGATCACGTTTTCTAGTCTTACAGTGGATCATGATTCCCAAATAAGCACAAACTGGAGGTTCATGATCTTCCATGTGACGGTTGGATAGTTTCTTTGTACAACTATACATCAGAAGCTGTGCTATTGTTAATGTCGACTGAGAATATGAACGATCCTGAATGTTGGGTCCAAACTGAATCATACTGACCAAAGAAAGCAATGACTGGGGTACAGAAGCTTCCTGACAATCCTTTGGAAAGTTTCCTCTAAATTCTGAATTTAATTCGAAAATATCTTTACGAACAAACGTAGCTGCTTTTGGTATGTTGACAAACTCATTATACAAAGTCTTCTAAGCCGACTCTCTTCAATGCAGGACCAATGTCATCTTTGAAAGCAAGAATGTTTTCACGGCCTTGTTTGTAAGCATCTAAGTCAGGGAAATTAGAAACAATTCTGTCTTTTAGTCGAGAACTATTAACTCGAGATGAAACATCTGCACCTAGACATGTTATTCTTTCCGTATAAAGTTTACATAGATCTGACAACTTGTAAACACTTATGGTCTCATCGCATGACCTTGTTTCATTTATATAAGAGACTAGTTCTGAAAATGCAATACCATGGATTTGCCTTTCCTTCTTAGATTCGACATTACTAGTATCTTTTTTCATTTCAATTCGAGATGCACCATTATATAAGGAAACTAAACATTTAGAGTGTTACTTTGCTTCCTGTGCAATTAGATCACCAGCGCTTAACTTTGCAAGTAACAACGTGTCATTTAATTTACTGCACATTCTCTCTCACGTGTATCTAGACCAAACGTTGAGGACTCATGAAGGGCTTCTTGGCCATTTTCATTACAGAAAAAGCACACAGACGGGTTACTGGTGGACTGAATTGAAAAGCTATGTCTAGTTTTCTTTTAAGATGTGGTTGCTTTATCATCTATTCTCTCATGTGAGGTTCGTTTTTCTGCTATATTTAACTTTGTCTTGTTGAGTTTTAAGTTGCAAGATTTGTGCCAACATGCTTTGTTGTCAATGAAAGACTGTGCTATTCCAGATCCCTCATCTAAGTTTTCAATGCACACATTAATGCCTTCAGGTCATGAAACTTCTTAATATTGTCAGCTAAAGGTTGATAACCAGCCCCAACATTGAGACGTTTAGAATCAAAAGGACATATTAGTTTTTCGTCTGTAATTTCTTGGCATAGGATGCAAGTTGACCAATCAATATAATTTGAATTAGTCGGTTTGTCATATTCTACACTTGATAACCTGAACGTCTTTTCAGTAGCCATGTTGTAAGAACTATGATCGTAAATTGGTTTATATATTACTTGTGGATAACTTCTGTATGCTAGACGCGTGTTTCGTCTACAAATGACGTATCAGTGACGCTTGAATCGAAAAAGTTAAAAGACAAACAAAAAGTATGTAAAACAAGATTTGATGAACTGAAATCCTGAAAGTTTTGCAAAGCACAAATATTTGTTGATTGTTTATAGCTTTCTAGATATACACGATATAGTTTTTGATAATAAAAATTAAATCATGTGTAAAACGAAAGACATATTTTGTCAGCCATTTTGATTTTTTTATATGGTTTTATATTAAAGAAGGATCGTTAACATCATAACTTACACTGTGCATAGGTTCATGCTTTTACTATAAAGTGATCAATTATAACAATTTTTTGGACTCTTCCTTTTGACTTTTGGCGGCCATTTTGAATTTGTCGGCCATTATGGAATTATTTTTGATTGTTCCATATTCAGAAAATATTGATTAGCATCATAACTAGCAATATGCAAAATTTTGTGCTTTTATTTTCAAATGATCAATTATACCATTTTTTTGGACTCTGCCTCATGACTGTTGGCGGCCATTTTGAAATTTGATGGCTCAATATCCAAAAATGTTGATAAGCATCGTAACTAACACTGTGCAAAGTTTCATGCTTTTACCATAAAGTGATCAATTGTCCCAAAATATTGGACTTAGCTGCTGGACTATAAGCAGAAAATGGTGGAATAAACCTGGCTAAAAGGGGAATGAGTAACATAACGCTGTTCTTACTAGACATTTGCAGAAACTAGGTCTTTACCTAGGATTACACACGGGCTTACGATTACAGTTGACGAAAAACAAGGGGTCATCTCAAAATATAATTATACAACAATAGAGATACATAGCTAAACCAAAGATTTTTTTGATTATTCACAACAGATTTAAAATCGCTGAATTGGATGTCACCAAAAAATCCCCACAACTTTGTATTTTTTAAATTCTCCGATTGCGTGTTCAACCTTTACTCTATAAATAAAGGCAACAGTAGTATACCTCTGTTCAATAGTCATCAATCGAATAAGCGAAAACAAATCCGGGTCACAAACCAAAACCGAGGGAAACACATCAACTATAAGAGGCAAATAACGGAACAACAGAAACACTGAACTGCAACAAAAAACAAACGCCAACATACATATAAACGGACTATTTGATAACAACTGCCATATTCCTGACTTGATACAGGACATTTTAAGAAAAAATGATGGGTTGAACCTGGTGTTATGGCTAGCCAAACCTCCCGATTATATGACAATGTTAAAAATAACGCTAGAATGACAACATTACGTGACAAAAATACAGTACAAATAAACGCAAGAACACTCAGTACAGAGAAACACATTAATAAATAATATCATAGTACATTACAACATGTACACCACAGAATAACAACGGACACCTCCCATGAATCAACGACAGCCCACCAGGACACCACAAACGAATTATAAACTGTGCATCACACGAATGTATCAACGCCACAAAAAGTGATTTATTTTTTGTGACGTTTATATTATCACAGGTAAATTTCTAAAAATAGAAAAGATTTGTTTTATTGTAGACACGTACAAGAACAAGATTGAGTTTGTAATGGTGTTATTTTATGTATTTTATATCCATGACAAGAATATTAAAATGGAATTGTGTTTGTAATGGTGTTATTATTTGTATTTTCTAACCATGTCGGGTTTTCTTCTAAATCAAAACTGTGTATAAACAAAAAATACATGTGCATATAGTTGCTTTAAACTAAAAATCATATAAATGAAATTGTGTGTAATAAGTCTATCTAATGTTCTACACTTCCTCTACATATTCTGGGGATTCAGAAAAATCTGTTGTCTTGTATAAGGTGTCAATACTGGATGTCTGTTCAGATTTATTATGTCGCTTACCAAAAACAGCAAAGAATGATACGCTTTCCCGAAAAACAGAGTACTTATACTTCTCTTTATGTTTTGGGTCCAAAATTGTGTCTTACCTTATTCTAGTATAGCAAAATCAGCTACATTATATACATTCAACCTCAACGAATTACACGCAGCGATGCAGGTCCAAACCCGGTATTGATCTAGTTTTATTAGATGATTTATGGTGTCAGAACTATCAATATGTGTTGTATATGTAATGAAACATACTAGATTTCTATTTCGTAATTGTTTATTGTTTAATGTTGTTATTGTATCAATTCTGATTGTTCAACATCACCTTTAGTTCATTTTCATGTTGATGTGGGTTTTTTTTTCATTAGAACCCGATATTTAGTACCTGTCCTACGATGTTTTTGAAAGTAATTTTCATTTCAAGACGTTGATAATATGAATAATTACTGGGACGACAATTTCATTTTCTGAAGAAAGGAGGCAAGAGATGAAAATGAATATTCTGGAATTCTGTAACACAAAATGCCGGAATCTATTGTGTACAAAAGTGAAAAAAATTTTTCGAGCGGAAACAAATAAGCATGTGTGGAAACAGATTTAATGAATGGTCAATCCTCAAAAACTCTTACTGCGACCTCCCCCCCCCCCCCCTCCTCCCAAGACTTTGGTCTTAAATGTAATCAGATAGGACAGCCTACTTGTTTTATTTGGTCATTGCTGATGTTAATAAAGTAAGCTATTGCTATCTGCCCGACAATCGCTTTCTATTTGACGAAACTTTGAATTCTGAATACACACTGAACATGGAATTTTCCCAATTAAGCAAAAAAAGTACAAAAAACGCCGTCATCAATGAACACCTTTATGTGAAATTTATCATTTAAACTATTTGGCAGACTCTGTTGAAATGTAAAATTGATGTATTCAAAAATAGTTTGAAAATGATAGATAGTCAAATTTTTAGAACAATCAGAATTGATACAATAACAACATTAAACAATAAACAATTACGAAATAGAAATCTAGTATGTTTCATTACATATACAACACATATTGATAGTTCTGACACCATAAATCATGGTCTTGATAGCCGCCGAAGTCAGACAAGTGAACACATTCAACGCTATAATTGTTTTACCTTTATTGATGTTAAATATCACATTATATATCGTTAGTAAACTACTTTTAGTCTGAACAGTCATTTTGATCTTACCATCATCTCATGAGTCTCAAAACTAAATTCTGTACAGGTACTACTGAACAGTCTAAAAATAACCTGAACATATCTTAATTGACTGCAAGCGAATGGTCTGAACAGTCTTTTCAGATCTGTTCAGATCAAAATGACCGTTTAAGACTATATTAACTAGTGTATGTTTACTTTATGTACACATTCTCGCATAAACTGTAACAGACTTGATGAAATAATATGGGTTGTATTCATACGACTTTTTTCTAATTATCAGGAAAAGTTATAGTAGAATGGGACCATGGTGAACAAAATTCCAACGTGCAATGTGACGAAAGTAATACATACAGTCTGAGGAAGGTTGATGAACCTAAAGTACTGGTGGATGAGATGACAGCTGTTGGTTGTAGAGTTGTTAGAGGTTTGTTCATGCCGGTTTTGAGTGGGGATTGTGTTGATCAGTCTTTAGTTTTCTATCTTGTGTTTTTTATACTGTTGTTTGTCATGTTGTCTTTTTTCTTTTATTTTTGAATCATGAGTTTGAGTGTTCCTTTGGTATCCTCGCCTCTCTTATGCACCAGTGAGAAAAATAATTAAATGAACGGTTTATGCTCAGTAAATATACATTCTAATATACATTGTAAGAAATACAGTACAAAATATTATAATAATTTTCAAAATATACTAGTATAATTAAAGGTTGTTTAATCATTGTGTTTGATGTTTTTGGGAGAGTTACATCGACTAGCTAATTGATGGTTTTAATAAATACTAAATTGATTGTTTTATTTGTTTGCATTGAATTTCTGTACAAATTCATTTTGGTCACGTCTTCCAGCACTGTTTGTGACTATGGTGTTGGGAAGCAATGTGTTTGTTAAATATAATTGTTATGCCAAAGTCGCTGTACTTTATGATATAGGAAATGATTGGAGGTTTGGTAATACCGATGGTCTCACATCTAAAACTGTCCCTAAACTTCCAGGTTCGCCATCGGTATTACCAAACCTCCAATCATTTCCTATATCATAAACTACAGCGACTTTATATAATTGTTATGCCAAAGTCGCTGTACTTTATGATATAGGAAATGATTGGAGGTTTGGTAATACCGATGGCGGACCTGGAAGTTTAGGGACAGTTTTAGATGTGAGACAGGAAGGAAAAATTGTGGTGAGTCTATACATTTCTGACTTATTTATGGCATATTACATATGTCGATGTAACATAATTCGATTTAATGATGCTATTACAAGAAATGGAACCAGCGTTGTCGTTTTAACAAAGAATATTTTTCATGTCGGGGCCTTTTATAGCCGACTATACTATGGGTTTTTCTCATTGTTGAAGGCCGTACGGTTGCCCATAATCGCTTACATCCACTTTATTTGAACTTTGTTTGATAGTTGTCTCATTGGAAATCATACCTCATCTCCTTATTTTTATAAAGATTGACCACTGTTACTCGGCGTTATTTTCAGTAAATATGAAGTTATATTAAAAACAATTTGATTTATTTGATACACTTTTCCTCGAACTGTTAGTGATCACTGTTTACTTATTCACCAGTTATTGTTAGAAATCATTGATAATAAGTTATCTAATATTAGTTCTGGGTATTGCACAAAATCATGTTAAAAGTTGTTTTTATATCTTTTACACAGATAATTTAGAGTTCAGTGCTTTTCAAGTACATATTTTAAAATAAACATCTTTTTTGTACCTTTTTAAAAATAAATTTTGAATAAGTTTTGGATTTTCATATATTTTGGCCTCGAGCATCACTGAAGTGAAATTTATTGTCGAAATGTGCATCTTTAGCCAGAGGTATAGGTGGAGGGTTAAGATCTCACAAAACATGTTTAACCCCGCCGCATTTTTGCGCCTGTCCCAAGTCAAGAATCTCTGGCCTTTGTTAGTCTTGTATTTTTTTTTAAATTTTTGTTCATTTACATGTTTCGAAGTTTAGCGTGACGTCCATTTTCGCTGAACTAGTATACACTATTGTTTAGGGGCCAGCTGAAGCCCGCCTCCGGGTGCGGGATTTTTTTGCTGTATTGAAGACCCATTGGTGGCTTTGGGCTGTTTTCGGCTCTTTGGTCGGATTGTTGTGTCTTTGACGCATTCCCCGTTTTCATTCTCAATTTATATTGTGCAGTAAAATTTGTATTGTTTATATATTACTGTACTTCCATTAATCTACATTATCAGGATCTGGCTTCTAAAAAAAAAGAAAAACAGTTAAACCTTTTTGCACTGTCATCTGCATTGTTTGTACGGCATTAGCTAAATTTCGTAAATATAAATTATCTACGGAAAAAATGCACGACTTCTTAAAATTATTAACATATTTACGCGGGTTTGTATTTTATAAAATGAAATTTCTGACTTTGAAGAAAAACATTTTATGACGACAGAGTTGTGCTGTTTTGTCAACACGAATCTATTACTCCAGGTGAGATGGGATTCTAAAAGAACAGCACTTTATAAGATGGGTTTTAATGGAAAGTTTGAAATTAAAGTACAGTGAGTATAAATATATGACTGGATAATTTGTAGTCTAAACTGAAAATTTAAATGACTAATCGTTAGTTATCATCATTTTCCTAATGATTCTTCATAACCATTTAAAAAATACGGTTAAAATTTCGAAAGATTGTTTGTTTAAATGGGAAAAAGTCAGAAATAAAATAAAAAATGACTTGTAATGTAATAAGAGTGCCCGTACATACCTCCTTATTTATACATATCTTTATTCATTTGTTGTTTTTTAATTTCCTTTTTATTCACCGATTCTTGTTTATAAACAAATTTGATTAAAACAACCAAAAAGAATGAAATGGATAAACAACAATAATATCATGTTCTTTCAGAGTCATGAACTGTTGTTTATCTTTCTTCTGTTTTGGACATGATGGTTTGTTAATCAAAATTCGGTTGTGTCCTTGGTGTCTTAGCTACTATAATACGTACGGTATTCAATCAATTATCTAATAATTATTTTGTACCTTCTACAAGTACTGAAGCAGGATATGAGTATCATTCGCAGCACTTGAAACTACTCCATGTTTTGGTTAAGTTTGTGTTGCTCAGTCTATAGCTTTCTGTGTAGTACTTTTATACTGTTTTTTTTGTAGTTTTTTTTTCCCATGATGTTGTCATTTTTTTTATCGTCTTATTACTTTTTATTTTGTCCCCTTGGTATCTTCTGTCGCTTTTTTGTAGTAGGAATATTACGACCCCTGTTGTGACATTACTTAGATTTTTAATTAGTGGATTTACTTTCAAGTGATGCTGCTGTTAGGAGCCAAAACACAGAACCTAGATCTGCATATAACAGTGCACACACCACATACAGTGAATCGGAGAATGAAAGCCATCGCCCAAATTCCAGATCAGCTAGACCCAACTGTACACAAGAACCAGCAGATTATGTCATTCCTATATATTCCGATTCAATAGGTAATACTGATTAAATAAGATCTTTGAATATTGTATGTTTAGGTACTAACATTGTTTTTTTATTGTCAATACATACTCAATATAACACTGTGAAAACTTTCAACCAGAGTCCAAAACGACGTAGAATTCGAAATTAGTAACAAGGTCATCGTAGGACCGTCAACAATAAGCAAGCAAACCCAATATAGCATAGCAAGCTATAAAGGCCAAACATCTAAAATATTTCAAACGAGAAAACTAACAGCTTGATTTATGTAAATACTATAAAAACAAAACATATATGATATACAGCAACAAACTATAACCACTGAATTAAAGGCTCCTGACATGTGATTGGGATATACAGAATACCGCGGGGTAAAACATGTTTGCATAGCACTCGACCCTAACCTAACCTGGGACATTGGTATAACAGCACAACATAAGAAAAAAAGCTATAAAAATCAGTTTAAAAAGACTGAACTAATAAGATCGACACAAAGCACACTTAAACAACATAAAAAAAACTTAAGACATAAAGTTCCGATCAGAGAGAACTCGCAGTCTCTGAAAGCTAGTACATAGCCATAACATAGTACATATATAAGTTGAAACGTGAGTCCGTTAAGATTGGTAATTTAAGTCTTTTGGCATTTTGCAGTGTGTTTGTGGTCAGTGTATATCTAATCGCTTTACAATTGATCATTTTATTTTGTTCTAATGTTGCACTGTTACACCACTGTCATAGATTTTCGAGGAAGAAAATTTGAGCACTCACAAACAAGTTAATTCACGTCAAATTCTTTATTTTTTGTTTAAAGTGTAGCCTAGTGAGCTTATGTGATGAAGGTAAATCCATAAAAGCGCCTCAAAAGTACAAAATGTATAAAGTATTATTTTTCATGCACTGCGTCGATACTGCTGTCAGTGGAAATCAAGTCCCTGATACTGGCATCATTTTAAGATATTAAGCTCCTTTTTTGGAAAAGATTTTTTCAGGTTTGTTTTGGAACGTAATCATTTGTTTTCAATGAATGCTAAAGAAGTTATATAGTTTGTGTTTCGCCTAGCTATAATAGATATATGTCAAAATTTTTCAAACTTTTAACAATGATTTCGCACGTATGGACAATTTTTACCTCGTATTTTTGAAAGATTTCAATAATATTATAACAGGTTTCTCATATGTGAGACTAAGTCAATCTTGTGATTGAATTCTTTAATTGGTACCATGATTTTGTGATTTATAACTCCAATGGTTTTCTTCTTTTTTCTTCAGTTTTAGCATGTTGGAACTTAGTCATATATGCCATTGCATACTATAGAAATTGCATAGTAAATGTCATGCTTAGCTCCAACAGTTTTCCGTCAAATTATTCAAACGTTGCACATTGATTGCACACAACTGGAAAATGAGTACCTCTTCTAATGGACAATCTGAATTATATTTCTGCGGGTTTCCCATGTGTGGAACTAAGCAATTTTTATCATTGAACTCTATAAAGGGTACCCTATTTTGTGGTATGCATAGCTCCAATGGGTTTCCTTCCTTTTTTCCTCATTTTGTCCATGTTGAAACTTTTTTTCAATCGAATGCTATCGAAGGTATCTAGTTTGGGACATGTAAACCTCCAACAGTTCCTAAACAACATTATTCAAACATTAAGAAAAAAAAACAAAAACAAAAAAAACTGTTGGAATGATCTTAAGATTTTTGGTCAATTTCACAAATTTTTTTTTTAAAGTTAAAAATAATATTGACATGCTAGTCGTCCTATTAGAGATTTCCATTAAAATGACATACGTACGTTAGTCGACGTACGGACCTAATGCTTGTTTTTCGTTATCCGATGTTCTTATTTTTTTCTCTCATTCTCTCTTTATCTGTTTGTTTATACTTTTGTGAGAACTTTTCTTTTAAATGATATTTTTCTGAAAATTTCGATATATCGAAATCAGTGTTTGTCAGACTCTGTCTCTTGGTAAAAGTTGAAAATTGAGATAAAGCTATCGCTTAGATTTAATTTCTAAATAAAATTCTTTTCCATTTATTATAGAATTTATAGATAAAAATTCCATGTGCAGGTTGTATTCTAGAAGGTGTGCTCGATTCAGGATTGTTCTGTGTTGTCTAAGTTAACGGGAATGCTATATATATGAAAGACCAGGCAAAATATTTTTTATCCCTTAAAGAATCCATTTTATGGATAAACAATTTGTTGGGTGTCGCCGAGTTTGTTTTTCATTGAAGTGAATGTGTTATAATAAGTGAGAAACATAGAAAAACTTCAGATAAGATTTCGATGTACTATGCAGTCAAAACGGCACGTTATTTTTTCCCTTTTCGATGTTTTTATTCCAATTGCAGTTCAGAAGATCACGATTTTGCGCAACGCTTAAATATAAGTATCAACAGGATATAGAACAATAAGTGCTCATGTTGTTTGAATATGCATATTCAGGAGGAGAAGATGAATATGAATCCGATATTGTACTAGACCGACACGCTGATGCAAGTTTTTAAACGTGCTAGCTCACAAGGTAACTATACGAAGGAAGACATTTTACTCTGCCCGGACACATCATTCTGACTCCGGACCGACCAATTTTTGCTCTTCTAAATATCGTGCGCTTAGCAGAGAGGCAGCCAACCTTAGATTTGAACCGGCCGAGGATCGAACCCAAGACCTCTCGAACTCTAGCAGTGGCGTAGCTACCACTGAGGCAACAAGACACCGACCACTAGGAGAGATAAAGATAATGTTCATTTTATAGTATAGAGTAGAGAGTTCTAAACGTTGACTTCTTTCCCATTTATACACCAAATCCTCATTATATTCTTTAGAAATAAACTTTCTTTCATAAAATGAACAAGGTAGATACAACTATCTTGTTTAGGAACGGACAAAGTATACCTTGTAAACAAACTGATTAAAAAAGAGGTCAAAACTCCGAAACTGACATGATCATGATGATGCTTGATTTTTTTCTTGACAAAGAACTTGTTACTTTTGGTGGACGTAGTTTTCAACAGACACTTGGCGTTGCTATGGAACAAACTGTGCTCCTCTTCCCACTGGCATGTAACTTGATTTATATGACCCACAATTTATAGTTCACCTAGTTATTATAATTATCCATGCATTTTGTCAAGACCCCCAAAACGTTATAAAGTTACAAAACATAGTGGATCTTAAACTTTGATAACTCCAAATCTGTGTAAAAGCAATTAAGATGAGGTCATACCTATAAATTTTGTCATTTATTTTTGTTTTGATCAGGACCTGTCTGTTATTTTATACTGAGAATTAAACTTTAAATAGGCAGTTTCATTGAAATGTATTTATTAATTGCGCATTTTAAACTTAACTTTGATTTAGAAGTTTTAAGAATTCATCCTTTGAGAAATAAATATATGGGTCAAGTGAAATGACAAAGTAATGATCGGTGCATTTGATTACCGGTTACGGTATTAATTATTTTCTTAAAAGGTTGTTGTCAATAAGACATTCAGAATTTAATAAAAAAATATGTAAAGATTAAAAATAGCAGATTGGGTTAAGTTTTAAATAACGTAAATTCCAACAAAGCACCGAGCACAGAATTCATGCAGTCTATGCTCCCTTCCGTCATGCTTCAATGCAATAGACAGAGGTACGTTAAGATAGGTTGGTTATGTCGAGTAATGTCATTTTATCGAAAATCTCTATTGAAAATCTGTTTTTAGGCAGTGATATACCTATGTGTATTGCACTTTACCTAAACGTAATTTATTTGGATTATTATTATCACCAATGACAATTGACGAAATTCTTAAGCCTAATTATTGTTCAATGTTTATGACCGAAAGCTGGTCTTCAAAACAACACGGTGTTACACAGACCTAGACACTGCATTTGTACTGTTTATCATTTTTATTTAAATGAGAAAAAAGACGAGACAAAGCCAATAACAGGGTTTTTGTTTTGTTTTGTCAAAAAGAAGGGCATGTTACGCTATTTTTGAGACACCTAAGGAGCAAATTGCAACCCCTAAAAACACTTTCTGATCCCGAACCACCGTATCAATCAGTGGTTCTAAGATAATTTTATAGAGTATTGTCTGTAATATGCATAAACTTTATCAGTCAGTTATTTGCTGAAGCACTGACATTATGCATACGGTTTATATAAATTAAAACATGCTTATTCCGTATTAATAAGGGGATAAATATAGTTTAAATTTGCCGACCCAACTTCATTGTTAAACCATCTATTGGGAAGATTTTTTAACAATCATTTAATTTTCCCTTTGAATTTAATTTTTTTCAAAAAGTTTATAAACGGCACAAAAAATATATCTGTCATGCTTTGAATGGGGTATAAATAAAAGGATATAAATAAAAAGGTACAATACTTACTAAGGAAACATGAATCTACAAAACTGCCGGATAAATTCAAAAAGGGGTCCATAACATGTGACCAATTCAAAACGCTCGACTATATCAACCAAAGGAACGACCGAAAAACAACGGTCATATTCCTGACTTGTTCCATGCATTTTCCGAAGAAAATGGTAAGTTGAACCTTCTTTTATGATGTAGCTTCCAAGGCAGTTATGCACCATTATCATTAGGCTAAACAAGTATACTAAGAATTATGAAATAGAATTATCGAACCGTCAACAGATCAATGATTACACAAATCAAATATGCATAAAAAGAGATGACTAGTTTCTTATCTTTGTTTTACTATAAACTTCAAATCGTACAGGATAATAAAAAGAACTTTAATTACCGGTGGTCATACTGTTGATAGAACACGAAGGAAATAAGAAAATAAAACTTTCAGACAGTATAAGGGTTGATAGCTTAAAAAAAATAAATCAAAATTTGGCTTTTATTAGTCTAACACAATCCCCACCCGTAGAATCGAAATAGTTTTTCAGCAGTAGCTTTACATTTTTGTCATTAGGTATGAAAGCATATGAAGAAATATGAATCGAACGGTGCAAATCACATTTTACGTTTACCTACAATGGAACTTTAGAATTATTGAGAATGTTTGTTTTGAAAAGAACAGAGTAATTTACAGTCGTCAATAACAGTTTAATGTGTTTATTTTTCATAAAATGTAATGTTTATCCATTATCTAACAAAAGTGAGTGCTATTTGGGAATATCAAGAAGGCTCTGAATGGAAAAAGTATCCAAATGATATAAATGTAAAGATTGAAAAAGCTTATCAAAGAAAGAAAACAGGGAAAACAATCATCGAAATGGATCGTACAACGTAAGTTTGTATAATCCGTTAAGTAATGGTTAATATTTTTTTTATACTTTCAACTATACAGCAGTAGAGCAAGTAACACACATGTCATAAGCACATACAGATAAAAACAGACAGGAAGAAAAGTAAAAACAACGACATAATGTAAGACTGCAGGGTACGCCGCCAGAGAAAGAAATTTACTACTGTACTTAATTACATGCAAATGATTTGCTCATATATAAAAAATACTCGTAAGAAAGGCTAATTTATAATTTTAGCTTCTTATGATCGGTTTGAAATATTGATTTATTTTGTTCATTATACGGAAATGACAGAACTATGAAAAACAACTGCACAACACTATGTATGTGATTATAATACTACCTTATATGACCTCAGAAAGTATTCGATTCAATTCTTATTTGTAATGTACCACATGTAAAACGTACAAAAAACAAAATCTGGTGAATATTTCATATAGTACGCTTAAAATAATGCCAAAGACTGATCCATTGATTGGTATCTATATTTCATTTCCTACTGATTCCGGCTTTGTTGTGGTAAACTACCTCTATTTTGAATTTGGTTTACCTGATATCCTTTCATTATATTTCATCCTTTCATGTAAAGTTGATTACCATAGTGTGTAGTACAAATAAGCTATGGTGATGACATTTCCTTAGTTGTTAATTTAAACAATATTGGCCATTCATCTTGATTCTTTTTGTTTTTGCTTTTGGTATATTTTACATTATATTATGCTTTTTAAGTACTCTACCAATCAATTGTTTTGCCATGGAAATAACTTTTTGCTATACATAAAATAAAAAAATGACAACAATCTGTTCAATTTACATAGTGGAGCCCGTCTCTTTTCTTAGTATAGTGTTCACCTTTTAAAAAGATGGTCAATTCATGGTTTCAGTGGTTGAGTCTATACCAGGAAAAGAGCAGCATGAAAGCGTTATTTTCGATTTCAAAAGGACAATATCAAATACTTTTACATACTTTTGTTATTGAAAACACACTTTTTGTTCGTGCAAACATGCTGATATTATTTTATTGTTAATATCACAAACTAGTGATGAAAGTTGAATACACAACAAATTAATCATGAAGGAATCAGTCAAGAAATAAGGTTTAATTACTCAGACTCGTATCCTTATTACATTTGCACTACTACATAATATTCAAGCTTGAAAATTCAACACTGTAATAAGATCTTTGAATATTTTTTATTGGTATAAATATTGATTTTGAAATCAAACTAAATATTATTTTTATATACATATGCACATTCATTGCTCTACAATCTGTCGATACCTGTATCTTGGCATTGCGCAATGTCATGTTTTTTTCTGACTGTTAATGACGTCTTTACACTAAATCCATTGGATGTTGGATGTGTACTTATTGATATTTTATTTTTTAAACCTGATTTTTATATAACTTTTTATTGGCTTTGAACTAGCTGTTAGTTGTTCCATTGTTTTCCTCTTATAGTTGATGTGTTTCCCTCGGTTTTGGTTTGTGACCCGGATTTGTTTTCGCTTAATCGATTTATGACTATTGAACAGCGGTATACTACTGTTGCCTTTATTTAGTACTTGCATGTACTCTCAGATCTGTACTTAGTGAGTTTTTTGTTGTGGGAATGTATAAATACCCTGCTACGTCCGGCCTTTGTTTTGTGTAGAACTTTTTCTCCTTTGTATCGATCTGATGAGTTACGCCCTTTTCAACTGATTTTTATAGTTTGCTCTTATGTTGTACTGTTACAATCAAGTCCCAGATAAAGGGGAGGGTTTGGCGCCAGCAAATTAGTTTAACCCCGCCACATTCTGTATGGGTCTGTTTCAAGTCAGGTTGTGGTTGTCGTTTGTTGCTGTATATCATATTTGTTTTTCGGTCATTGTTTTTTTCATAAATCAGGTAGTTAGATTTCTCGTTTGAATTATTTTACATTTGTCATTTCGGGGCCTTTTATAGCTGACAATGCGATATGGGTTTTGCTCATTGTCAAAGGCCGTACAGTGGCCTATATGAATAACTTCTATGTCATTTGGTCTCTGGTGAAGAGTTGTCTCATTGGCTATCATACCACATCTTTATATATATATATACTTATATATCCATCCTTTTATATAGAATAGTGACTGATCCTAATATAAAATGCTAAAACTATTAACACATAATTAAATTACAGGTACCAAATATATTTTTCAAGAATGATTCAAGAGAATCCTAGCAATAAGAAAGAACAGTCCGTCCGCAGAACAGGTTGGTAGATAGTATTGCTTTTTTATTCAGTCAAGGACTGTTGTTAAAAACTATGAGAACAAATAGAGTACTTTGGGTTACAAAAAGACTACTAACATGAAATTAAATCTCATTTACAATGAAATAAAATTTTTTTTAGTACATACTCAATCGAGTTTAAATGCAATATATTTTTTTACTTTTTTTATGAAATGAAACAGAGAACATGAACAATGTATTTAATGTCTAGCTTCAAGAAGAGGTTGTTTTAAATATATCCAGCAAACCTCAAATCAGGAATCACTTTTTATAAATAAAGGCAACTGTATTTTACAGGTGTTCAAAAGTCAGAAATCGATTGAGAGAAAACAAATCAGGGTTACAAACTAAAACCGAGGGAAACCCATCAACTACAAGAGGAAAACAACGGAACGACAGAGACACTGAAGTGCAACAAAAACAAACGCCAACATACAACGAACTATTTGATAACAAGTGCCATATTCCTGACTTGATACAGGACATTTTAAGAAAAAAATAGTGGGTTGAACCTGATTTATGGCTAGCCAAACCTCCCACTTATATGGCAATGTTGAAAAATATCGCTAAAATGCCAACGACAGAAATACAGCACAAACAAAAGCAAGAGCACTCAGGACAGAGAAACGCACAAATAAATAATATAATAGTCGCCACAAACTCTTTTTACATATAAAGCATTCGGAAAACAGTCTTTTATGATATGCATAATACTTCAAGGATATTACTAATCAAAAGTCACAGAATCAACCGTTTAAAAAGTTAATAGTGGTTAGATTTACAGTATACCTCGTGTGTGAAACCTAAAAACTTCTTTACTTCTTTGTACGCTTTTTCAGTGGATTTTTTTCCTTTTTTTGTAAGAATTCGTCATACAGCCTTAACTGTTTCGATATTTGTTAGCTTAAGTATTTCAAATTAATGCTCGCACACGGGGTTTGAAATAATAAACATATGAAAGTAAATTATAACATTTTACTTGTATTTTTTTTAGATTAAGCTGAGAGGTAAAAAAGAAGATTTTTCGAAAAAAGAATGAAATTTAATTTACATTAACTAGTTACAGTAATTCATATATATTTCTCTTTCTCATAATATTGTAAGCAATTACATCGTTTTGTATCATAATAAATCTAATACCTATTCAAGACTTATTGATATTTCTCATTTCAATCCCCTCCACACACACACTCACACATACATATGTATATAACGAATATCCTTCTTTAGTAGCAATTGCTCGATGTAAAATGGTTATCAATTCTTGTATGAAATCCTGAAAACCATACAGTGTACAAATCGGACATGGTTTGGTGAAAAGATCTGTGATCTTGGAAATTACAAATTTACGTTAGTACCAACACAATTTTAATGACCTAAGAGAAAAGCCAGTATTACTTAAAACATAATTGAACATATATACTTAAACAGGGAAAAAATACAAGACGTCAAGGCATATTCCAAAAAAATCAATATTTATATTCACTGACCTAGTTAAAATCGTCTTAAAAGAACCCCATTGAACCACTTAAAACACGCACTTACAAAATTCATACAAATATAACAGTAATTTTACAAGTAATTATAGTCAATAATTCTAGACTATACACATATATCCCTAGATTGTGTACTACATGTAATACAAACTACGGAAGGTGGATGATAATTTACATTAAGGATGTATAAATCAATGTTGGATATGTAAGTACAGTTAGAATGTATAAATACATATGCGATTTTAACTACATTTTGGATGCATAAATGCATGAGAGATTTATAGATAGATACACAATGTACACAATCTAACAACTTTAAGTATATTACACTGGGAAACTTCTATTTAGGTCAATATTGCGGTAATTATCAGTATCAAAATAGCATAGGTGAACAGATAAGCTTTTTTTCAATCAAACCTTTTTTTTAAATTCTTAAGGTACAAAATATCAAAACTAGCAAAATCTTGGGAGAATTTCTCATCATGTCTATGCATCAAACTGGCAGTGCACTCCCAGGATATTTTCAATCAACTTTTTATTGAAAACAACTTAACGAATCCTAGTAAAAATTGTTTTACTTTTTCTAATTGCATATCAGATGAACATCATGTGATATATTTTTGTGTTTATAAGCTGCCATTCCAACAATTGAAACAATTTCGAAGTTTGTAAAACGTATCTAAACTTACAGAAAATGCATTGAGTGTGTAGGTAATGGTAATATCTTTGACTAGCTTGCTTGCTATCTGAACCGTGAAGTCATTATTAGGTTAGGTATACTACCCTCCTTTGAGAGTAGACTAGTCCGACAGATAACCGATCTATCTGTCTGTAGGACTAGACTACTCGAAAAGGAGGGTAGTATACCGTACCTAATAATGACTTCACGGTTCAGCTAGCAAGCAAGCTAATCAAAGATATTACCTTTACCTACACACTCAATGCATTTTGCTGTAAAGTGATCTTTAAAACAAAAACATAGAAAGCTTTGTCTTGGTATAGTAACTTCTAAACGCAATCGGATTCAAAAAATGTTTTTATGCTTTGTTTACAAGAACATGACAGCGCTCCGTTTAACTTTTGATTATTTCGTCAATCAAAACAAGTTTTACCATCAAATTTTGAAGGTCTGTTTCATTGCTTCAAAATCAAAGAAGATAAAAGAACAGTAATCTTCAGTCCGTTTAAATGTTGCTCAGTCATGCTTATTATGATTATCATCGCGTTACACAAAAAAACAAAAACACAAAGAAACACATGCGATTGTTTGTCCTTAATAAAAAAAAAAAAAACAGGAAAATAATACAGAAAATATTCATACTTAGCAATATTGATTTTCAACATGTAATTTTCAATACTAAACCGTCGTTTTGATTTGACGATTCTTGCTGAAGATATATGACTTTGACCACATTTTTAATTTTTGTAACACAATGAAACCTTGAGAACGTAACGAATCGAATACGTTTTGTATGAAAGTTTTTATACTTGATATAATTGTTTTTCATCATGGGTAGATGATCATACTGAACAGTCATTTTAACCCACCATTTTATTCGGAAAATGCGTGTACCAAGTCAGAATTATGGCAGTTGTTTCCATTTGTTCCTTTGGATGATATAGTCTAACGTTTGATTTTGTCAGGTTTTATGGACTATCCTCTTTTTTTTTTATTTACTTTTGAGTTCGGTATTTTTGTTAATCCTTTTTTTTTATAAGACATTGGTAAAACAAAAGTTACACAATGACAACTTATTATTCCATCACTGTATTGGATACCAAAACTACATAAATGTCCTTACAAAGAACGTTATATTACTGGGTCTTCCAAGTACCCCACGAAACCCATTTATAACTTATTAACATCAATTTTATCAGCAATCAAAGCCGGGCTTCAAAGTTATTGTGAAACTACCTATTCTAGAGGTGGCGTGAATCAGATGTGGATACTAAAAAATTCCAAAGATCTTTTAGAGTACATACAATCTAAGTCTCTTTCATCTTGCAAAAGTATTTAAACATTTGACTTTTCTACACTTTACACAAGTATTCCCTAGTCCAAACTTAAAGACAAATTGAAAGAGTTGGTCCTGCTTTGTTTCATAAAAAAAAGAATGGCAAAAGTAGATTTACGCATCTTGTCTTAGGAAGGGATAAATCGTACTTTGTAAAAAATTATTCTGATTCAAACAAAAAATTCTCTGAAACTCACACTATCAAGATGATTGATTTCTTGATTGACAGCATATTTGTTATGTTTGGAGGACGTGTTTTTCAACAAACAATCGGCATTCCCATGGGAACCAACTGTGCTCCTCTTCTTGCTGACTTGTTCCTTTATTCATATGAGGCTGACTTCATACAAGAACTTCTTAGGAAGAAAGAAAAGAAGTTAGCAATGTCCTTTAACTTTACTTTCCGCAATAAAGATGATGTTCTCTCACTAAATAACTCAAAATTTAGTGACCATGTTGAACGCATCTATCACATCGAACTTGAGATAAAGGATACAACAGATACAGTTAAGTCTGCCTCATATCTTGACTTACATCTAGAAATTGACAATGAGGGCCGGTTGAAAACAAAATTTTACAACAAAAGGGTAATTTCAGCTTCCCAATTGTGAACTCATTTCTGTGTAGCGACATTCCAGCAGTACCTGCATACGGAGTATATATATCCCAGGTGATACGATATTCCAGGGCTTGATTTTCCTATCATGACTTCCTTGATAGATGGTTGCTTCTCACAAGGAAGCTATTAAACCAAGAGTTTCAAGAGCTGAAGTTGGAGTCATCCCTTCGTTAATTTTACGGACGTCATCACGGGCTGTTTGACCATTATGGAATATCCGTTTCACAGATGATAGCGGATATATTCAAATTGTCGTAACTTTCATCCAGTCCCCCTTTCCCCAAATGTGAACTACTGAATTAGACTTATTACCGGGTTGAGACTAACATTAGCAACACTACACGTGCCACATTTGGAGCAGGATCTGCATACCCTTCCAGAGCACCTGATATCACCCTCATTTTTTGGTTGGTTTCGTGTTGCTCAACCTTTAGTTTTCTATGTTGTGTTTTGTGTACTGTTGTTTGTTTGTTTGTTTGTCTGTTGGTCTTTTCCTTTTTAGCCATGGTTTTGTCAGTTTATTTTCAACTTATGAGTTTGAATGTCCTACTTGGTATCCTTCGCCTCTTTCTTATGAATGTAACTCATTTGAGATTGTTTGCCGAAAAGCTTTCATGCTTGGTAGGATTCTTTGACGTCCCGTAGTTGGTCATACTATACCGTCATTCGGATTTGATGGATATATTTGGAGATTTGGTACTTTAAAATTACTCATCGGCGTGGGACATTTCACCACATCTTAGCAATTTTGCTTTAATTTGATTTGAAGTTTCAGGTTAAGATAACTTTGTAAGATTGTTTGTCAAGAAAAAACGGTCATACTTGGTAGGATGGTATGACACCATGTTGTTGGCCTTACTGTACCGTTTCCAGTTTTGAGTAAAGATAATTTGGTAGGATTGTTTGCCGAAAACCTCACATACTTCGTAAGATGCCCGAGCAAAGACCCATATTCTACTTTGACAGATTGCGCAATCCAGTGGTATACTTTGTGATAATGAAACTAACTTGAACACTGCTTGTAACAAATAAATGTATTAATCATGGATATTTGTTTTATATGCTTATTGCGTTGACTTTTGATAAATATCGTTATCAAGTTATTATCATCTTGTTTTTTTACATATGATCGAAAAGATGCTAGGTATGATAAAAAAAATTGTGATTCATTTTAAACATCGTTTTACTCACAATGTAAAGGAACGGCAGTTAGAATAAAAGTTTGTTTATTAATTAATCATTGAATCTTACCGTCATTAAGTACATACTAGCTTTTTTGTTGGGAGTGAGATATTTGAATTCAAACACTGCTCAATATGAAAAATAGATTTATCTTAAACGTCAATAAGTCTACAACTAAAAAAGAGGACACATGAATGAAAGAAGATGAGGGTATACGTCAATACAAGCTTTGAATGGCTCATTTTAGAAAAGTTTAGAATAAATTAAAGTGAGCCTATCAAAGGCCTACTGTCAATATCAAAGTCCATTAGTGACGAAACAATAAGATGTAGAAAATGACTATTATTAAAACTTTTAAGCTTGATAGAAAATATTACCGTTAAAAAATTTAGTGTTAACTTTGACCGTTTACCTTGAAGATTTCTAGAGATCACCTTATATAGAAATAAGAAGATGTGGTATGACTGCCAATAAGACAACTCTCCACCAGAGACCAAAATGACATAGAAGTTTACAACTAAAGGTAACCGTACGGCGATCAACAATCAACAAAACCCATACAGCATAGTCAGTTATAAAAGGCCCCGAAATGACAAATGTTAAACAATTCAAACGAGAAAACTAATGGCCTGATTTATGTACAAAAAAATGAATGAAAAACAAAAATACGATATACAGCAACAAACGACAACCACTGAATTACAGGCTCCTGACTTGGGACTGCACATACATAATGTTCAGTCTTCGACAATACACAATCACACAACAATAAGTCATTATATATTTCCTGTCTACAGAAAAGTCAATGATTTAAA